GTTCATTTTATATATTATATATATATATAATGCTTTATATTTTATCTTTTATTTTATTAGTAATTCTATTCTTAAGGTTAGGGTTTTTTAATTTTAGTTTAATGTATGTTTAATGTATGTTTTGTATTTTGTTTGCTACTGGATACTTGAATTTGAATCAGAATTAGGTTTATTATAAGTACGTTTTTACACGTACAAGGGATTTGTCTTGGTGAATTGGATATAAAAATCACACAAAAATAAAGTACTTTTTAAAATATAAATAAATGAATAGAATAGATAATAACCTCAAAGTCTTTATATATATATATATATATATAGTGCTTTTAATGTGTTGTTTCTATTAGCTATCGAACTCTTTGAGTTCCTTAAAAGGTGCTCTATAAATAAAATATAAACACTGTGACTTTTTGATATTATATTGTTCATGTATTGTGTGTACTGTAACTATCAGTTGTGGAAGCACTCATATATTTATATACTATATGTATACTACTACAACAATCTAATAGTAGTCCATTACATGTAAAACTTCTGCATTTAAAATCTTACTCAAGTAAAAGTACAGAATTATTATAAGCAACATATACTTAAAGTATTAATTTTGCAACTCATGCATTCAAAATGTTACTTTTAAGTGTTAGTATCAAAACATGCTGCCGACTACTAAAATATACTATACTACCAAAAGTCCTATTAATATATTAGTATTATAGCCTATTAATTGATTATAATGACTGAATTATTAATGTGTTCATCACTTTTATGTTGCAGATGGTTAATATGTGGCTAACTTTGACCATCCTGCTGGTTTTCTTGATTGTATGCTGTATTATTAATCTGAATCCACTAACTAACTAAAGTTATTAATAATAAATGCAGCATAAAAAGTACAATATTTGCCTCTGAATTTTAGTGAAGTAGAAGTATAAAGTAGCAGAAAATGGAAATACTCAAGTAAAGTACAAAGTAAAGTTCAGTGTCTGGGTAAATTGTGACAGTTTAGCGAAGTACGAGGAGCTCCTGAACGCATCGGGATGGAAGGTGGGTTTTTCTCCTCTTTTTTTTTTAAACTCTTTTGGGAAGAGAGAGAGAGGAGGGGGGGCAAAGCATTTCCTTTTCCATTTGCATCACACTGTGGAACAAAAAAAAAAAAAAAACACAGCCCAAAATGTGCCGTGTAGAAATGTGTGCAGATTAAAGTGAACAGACCTGGAAGAGGATGCTACAGAAAACTGCTCCCAAATCAGCCCTTAGTGTTGGAAATAAGAGTTCACTTCGGATCCAGCAGCCAAAGTTTGACGCAATTCTTCCCCGGGGAGACATCAGGAATAGGCTGGATTGTCACCATGGAAGTATTTCATGAGGAAAAGTAGAGATATATCCTCTATAAATTGGATTTGGAGGCAATCTGAGGAGGAAAAAACAAACATTTCAAATGCAAGTTGTGTGCAGTAGTTCACGGGTTTCCAGATGTCTCTGCTGATGCAAACAGCGGCTGCTTATTGAAACACATTCACACCCCAAAGAGGAAAGAAGAAAAGTAGCATATTTCTTCTTTTATTGCAACTTTAAGCTTTATTAACGTCGCTGGGAATGAATGTAAGAGCAAATTTGGGATTTTCCAGCAAGCGCTCCCATTAGAATAACAGGCTTTGAAACTCTATATGCTGGATGTGACGACTCGTCGACGTTTTCTGGACATGGACGGACACCGAGGACACAATATAAAGGAGCCGCTTTAATAAATAAGAGCCAGGCGTTATGATGAAAATGTTATTCGGGTGAAGTCCTCGGAAAACTCGTAAGGGAAGCCCAATGAGTGGCACACAGTCAACACTCACTGACAGGTAGGTTAAATGCTCTCTTTTTTCTAAAACTGCTAATCTTTGCTACTTATTTTACTGCATGTTTGCTCATCATTTATCAAGTTTGAAATGGTTTTCGGAGTCTGTTTATGAATGGAAAGACAACTAACTGCATCGCACCAAACTCCATTTAAAAAACTTCTAATTAAAGGTGATGTTCCTTGTTGGAAACATACATAACTAGCAGAACGTAACAAAAGATGTTTTACGTTTTAGTTTGGTGTTCTGGTGAATTCGGCAGACAACTGATTAAACAAAAAGAGACCAAAGTTTCTACAATTACAGTTTTATTTTATAAAAGTCGCCCTCTTCGCGTCACGTTGTGCTGGGAAACAACGGCCTCTGGGACCGGTAAGGGATATACTTTAAAAGTTGAGTTTTAGTAAACTTAAAGGTGCTTGGTGTACTGGAGGGTAGCCGAACCAGATCAGAACATTTGATAATGTCTGTGAGAACTTAAATTATCTTTAACAATAAACATCTACCTGGGGAAAGCTATGGTAATTTAAGATTTACAGATTTCTAAACGGAGTTCGTAAAAGTGTTCTCACTATAAAAAACCCCAGAACGAAACATAACGGGCCTCGGTTTTTCCCTTTTTTTTTTTTTTACTGGGTAATGTAATTGGTCTTGAGTGTTGATGACAAGCTCCCCTTCCCAACCAGCAGGGTGCATTTTTCCTGGAATGAGTCATTCTTTACTTGTGGCCCCTATAAAGGTTAACTTACAGCAGCACATTTTGTCTCTTCATACCCTCCAGTACAGGATGCTCAAGTGCACAGACCTGTCTTCTGGCAAATGTTTTGTCCCAGATACCCGAGTCTGAGACAATTTCCTTGTTGTCTGGCCTGGCTGAACGCGGGCTGATTGAAACATCTCTGTGTAAACACGTACTTTAGTATTTATACAGTGAAACAGTCCCATACTTTGCTGGAGGGTCCTTAAATTCCCAGAGGGACCTATGGTGATTCAGCAGATTCAGGGACACTAGAGTCACATTATCTTATCTGTGACTGCAACTGGCTGCAGCAGGAAACACAAACCACAGCGAAAAGTCACATTAATCTGTGCACATCAATATAAATTTGATTAAATAATCATATGACTTCCCCTTTATCGACCACAGTAAACACAGGCTTGTCTTAAGGAAAAGCAAAAAGAAGTGCAGCAGCTATGGAGGGTTGTTGGTTTCCAACCTGAACCATTTTGTGCCATTTCTGTAAGAACCGTATAAGGTGAATTGTTTTTTGAAAGGTTAAGCATTTACTTTTCAGATTCCATCCCACATAAGTCACTTGTGTATTTTTACACTCGGTAATCAGGAGTTTCCTCTGAGGAAACGCCAAAACAAAGGCACACATGACTGCCTCGGAAAGTCAAACAAAGTCATTTGATTTCTTGACCTTCAGCCTGCAGAGAGGACTGAGCCATTCGTCTGCTTTTTTTTTTTTTTTTACAAGAACGGGCCTCTTTTATGTAGTTTAGATTCACTGTAATGTTTCTTTCACAAATTCCACATAAAGACCATATACAGTTTCAGATCCTAACAGACTGTGGAAGTGGAAATCATTACGTACACCAAAGGACGGACTTAAAGGGAAAATCTACTGAAAACCAAAGCACGATGTATAGTTTGTAAAATGAACACGAAATTACAACATTTTGCTCCTCTTTCTGTGAGTGATATGGCGAGCAGCAGAGCTGGTGTTCAGGACAGGTTATGGAGAGAAACTAAGTTCAGACTAATTAAAAAAACGAACATATACATCCGTCCATTTTAAAATTGATAAGATTCACTGCTCAGGACATAGATAACTCCACTCTGCAGTTCACCCTACTCATTGCTCCTTGTCCCGCTGGCTTCTTGCAGGCAAAAGCATGTATAGCTTTTAGAACAATGTAGGAGAGAGAAATTGTTGGCTACTTAGATAGGAAGGCTCATAATATTTGTTCTGTGCGACGGCTCCACACATATGTTCCGTCCCTTGTTACTTTTTATAGTTTGTGTCCAAAGTGGAGGTCCTCTTGTGTGAAACAGCCATTGAATACCAACGCACATGGTGTGCTGATCGCACCATGATCTTTTACTCGCACAAACCCACTCACACCACATCCCGCTTCACAAGGGTCCGAGTGTGTAGAAATTGAATGGCTATAGCCGAATGACTTTGCAGATTGCACCACCCAACTGAATAATGTGCCTCAACCTGTATATATAGTGAACAGAGAAGAAAAGTATCTTCAACATGCATTCTGTGTAATGCCAGCCAGGGGCCATCCCAATTGCTGCACAAAAGCCGCTAGTAAATTGAGTCAATGGAGAAATTACAGCAAACTTCTCCCACTTGATTTATGAGCTCAGTAAACAGTTTCTATTGGAGTTTTATGATCTCCCAATCTCTATTGTTCAAGTCTCTTTCATACAACATAATTTCATTTACGTAAATTATGGTCCCATTTAAAGTCATCCTCAGGTGAGTCCGGTCCCAGCTCCGAACCGCACACACAACAACCTCAGATCAAGCCTGTCAAACTAGGCACTGCTGAACCAAGATTCTGTTACTGCGTTGTATTCTTTTCAGAAACACATTTTAGTGTACTGTTTATCTGTGATGCGATACGTTCGTGTGTGACCAGACAAGCCACTATCGTTTCCTGCTACAGATAAGTCGAAACTGCGCAGCAAATGAGAGCCGACGACCATAATGCCAAACTGTAGGCTTAAAATTGGCTCTAGGAGAAACTATGGTGGCTGTGAAACCTGTGAAATGCCTTA